CAATTTTCTGCTTTATCAGATTAATGACCATATTGTCCCTTCTCTCCGAATATAAAGAGTCCTTAAGGCGATACCAGTGGCATGTAATAAGTATTATAAATATAATTTTAATGCAATTAAAAAACAAAAAAATAAGGGCCCTAACTTCATAACATTACAGTCAAACATATACTTAAAACTAAAACAAATTATTCTCACCAAAATAAGGGTCCTAACTGGAAAGATCATAAGCATGCAGATTATGCCCCTTCAATACCAACATATTTATACATATTTGCCGTAAACTTTTTTCATAAATATCCCAACATTCAACAATTTTAAGTGGTCTGCCATTATAAAAGTCGACCAAAAAAAAGTCAAACCAAAACCAAAAGGTTGAAATTTCTATAAGAACAAAAAAACATCGGTTTAAAAGCAAGCAAAAAAGATTGTTAAAAAAATATGGAAACGGAGAGGCAAACACATAATATTATTTTCCCATTTAATTGTTATTTATTAGTGGAAAAAGTTGTCCAAAAGCGGAAAAAAAAACCGTAACACTGATTCTGGGGGGCAGCCAGACATACGGGTGGTAGCATTGGATTTGAGGAGCACCGTCTTAAATTGGTAAGTAATCATAATTATAGATTTTAGTGATACATTTTTCTTTCAACACTAATTACATCAATTATGTTGTGTCGTTTATATAGAAACAGTTGACGGGTGAAGACCCCTCATTCATTGATCTTTATTATAAGACACATCTTACCGCCGAATCAAAGAAAATATATTTTGGGGGAGATAAAGAGGCGCCAGTGGATTTTGTGAATGAGACATCTAGGGTGGCGATCGTAAGTTGTCTTTATCTTTTTATATATTTACTAATATTAGTTTTTACTTTTTAGTACAATAACAAAAACTTTCTTTTGGTATATTGTAGGAATCATATAACAAAGCCCTATCTCAAAAATATGGTGATGATCCGACTCAACATAATGTGAATGATTCTGAATTGTGGACCCAAACACAATTGCTTAGGAAAGGCGGGAAACAAAAAAGGTCCTGTCTATGGGGCAGGATACTCGGATCTTCACTTTCTGATGACGGGTGCATATTCTTATGAGTCAACTTCAGCTTCTGCTGACTTTGCAAAGTCACAACAGGAGGTACTATTATTTACATAATATATTATAGAGAAAAAAAATCAAGTAAAGAGGTACTTAATATGGCTGAAAAAAAATATGTTCATATTGGTAAGGTACATTGTTGTTACAGGTGAAAATTGAAATATGTTGTCATTATTAATATTAGGTAAAGTGCATTGTTATTATGGTTGAAAATGATACTATGTTGCTATTATTAAATTAGGTAAAACATAATGCTTTAATGGGTGAAAATTATAGTATGTTGCTATTATTGATATTTGGTAAAGTAAATTGTTGTTATTGATAATAATTTAAGTACATTGATATTATGGATTGGAAATGTAAAGTATAATGGTATAATGGATAAAAATATAGTATGTTATTAAGCATATTAAAAGTTATTATTATGGATATTAAAAACAATGTACATTGTTATTATCAATAGTATGTTTTTATATTGAATTAAAAGTAAAGTATATTGCTATCATGGTTTAAAGTTGAATTACATTTACTAACTGCATGTGTTTGTCTTGCTATGTTTAGGTAAATGAGTTGCGACAAAAAATGTCAAACATGGAACAAGCCATGGAAGAAAAGCAAAGTGAAATGAATTTGCAAATGCAACAAATGCGAAATGAAATGGAATTGCAAGTGCAACGACAATTGGCGGCCTTTATGAAACAAATCAATCCGTCCGGTAATCCACCAAGTAGTTCTTAGTTTTTGTTTTAGAACACTAAATTAATGTTATGTTATTGACTAGTTCTTAGTTTTTGTAATGGTATTGTAATGGTATTTTGAGTATTTGAATGTATGAATGGTGTGTTAGTGACTATTTTAATGGTAATGAATGTAATGGTATTTGACTATAATTTTAATTATTTATTTGGTTTTTTTAGCAGAAAATTTGGATATTTTTTAAATTATAAATTTAATATAGCAATAGATTTTTGACTGAATTGTAGGAAATAAATATTCTGTAGGAATTATAAATTTAATATAGCAATAAAAATTGGTAAAAAATTCATAGAAAATTTGTAGAAAATAAATATTCAGTATTAGGTATTCTGTAGGAATTAAAATCCAATAAAATTTGTAGGTATTCCGTAGGAAAAGATGTTGGTAGGTAATCTGTAGGTAATGTAGGTGGTAGGTATTCCGTAGGAAAATGTGTTGGTAGGTAATCTGTAGGTAAAGTAGTTGGTAGGTATTCTGTAGGAAAATCATTTCGTAGGTATTCTGTAGGAAAATATTCCGTATGTATTTTGTAGGAGTTTCGTAGCTAAATAACCCGTAGGTAACGTGTTCCGTAGGTATTCCGTAGTTAAATTTGTAACGGAATATTCCGTAGGAAATGCGTAGGAACGTTTGTAGCTAATTTGTAGGAAAAAATTACCCACGAGGGTTTTTCCAACAACCCGTGTTTTGTAGGAAATCTGTAGGTAACACCTTGTTCCTACGGATTTACTACCAATTCTGTTGTAGGTAATTACTTAGTTTTCTAGTAGTGAATGGATTTGTACGGTTGAGTTTTAGGTTCTTTAGACTTCCTCGGCTCAAATGTCTCAATGTGTCATACAGCTATGACCTCGTAGAATTGTCAGAGCTACCATCAAATGTAGTTGTCTTAGCGGATGATTGTACATCACTTGAGACCCTTGGAGATATTTCAAACTGTAAATGGTTGTGGAAAGTCTCACTTCTTTGGGGGGAAAAACTTGATGGAGACATAATACTAGACTCCATGCTCCGGGTTTGGCTTATATATGTATTTCAGTCTTTATATAAAACCAAAACATAAGAAGAATACATGTGAATCATAATGAATATGTTGTTTTGTGTCAGGGGAACGCCAAAGATTACTTTATCAGTATCAACCTTTCAAGCATGGACATTTGGAGCGGGCCATCTGCACTGTGGGTCGACTTGGTGAAGACTTATTATATGTCACTTCCATATGATTGGTACAATCACTTTTCTGGGATTTTGATGTTCTTCCAAAACAACAAGAACTTTGATAGCGACCCTAACATAGCCATCAAGGTGGGTGTACAAGAAAATTTTCAATGTGAGCTTGGTCAGAAATCTAATGAAACACTCGAGACTCATAACCCTGACACATATGTTGGATATGTTTCCTTTAGTTCATTGAGGCACACCAGATGCTTCAATTCAACATACAACATCATTTCATTTTCCTTAGACCCGGAGGGTTTGTATGGAGATGGGTATAAGTTTAGAGCTGTACTCTTTCCTAAAGATGATACAGTGCAAACAACAAAAGTCACTACAGATTCCTCAGAATTTTGGGATGAGGAGTAACTTTATGAAAGAAACACATTTACGATCCAACATGATTCAAATTCCTCTGTCGAGTTTTTATGGCATCCTCTTAGTCATTTTTTTTTATAAATGATCTGACTATGTTACCAATTTCAGTTAATGAATTTGTTCCTGTCGACCAAAGTCTACGCAGAGAAGTTTATTCAAGAGTCACTTTAATTAGTCTCAGTTTCATAGTGGTTTGATAATTGGTCATTGCTGTTTTTATTTCTTTTTCTTTTGTTAAAAAGAATTGCATATGAAATTGATAATTCTATTGTAAAATTTTGTCTTTCTCATATGATATTTGTGATTTTAGTGCATTTCTACAAGTCACAGTTGGTCAATATTCCAGTTTGCATCATCTAATGTTGTTTATGGAAAGTGATTACAAGTTTCCTTGCTGATAGAACATATGATTTGTGCTGTATATAGATACTGAGGGTATTCTAGAGAAGAGATAAAACTTTAATATGTTTGTAAGCCCAGTATGAGTATTAACTGCAACCTTGTTTTATGTGAAGAATACACTTATAAAATATATTTCTATGGCCATGGGTTGTTGTCGTGATACAAGTGCTATTTGCTTAAAAGCGTTCTGTAAGTTTTAAGATTTCAGGAACTTACTTCTTTGATATGTAGGGCGAATGATTAAGAAGGCTCTATATCAGCTTATAATGCACTTTGGCAGTTGATTTGTTACTGCAAAAGTTTATTGCTCCATTAATTTTGTCCTAATTACATCCACAATTTTAATAATAAAAAAAATCTGGCATTAATTCATGATGCAAAACTCTACAAACTCATACATAGGGAGTCACATTTATATTATTAGTATATACGAAAGCAGACCATAGTGTGTAGGATCTTGCATAATACAATACCAACAATATACAGTTGATTCAATACACAGATAGTGTCAGAGAAAACAGCACCTATTAACAAGTGTAATATTTATAAACATGTTCCACACACATATCATATGATTTTCTCCTTTGTGTGAATCAATAGGAATCAAACTCAATAAACTTTATAATCAAAACAAAAACCTCCTAAATATGAGGAGAAAAAACCACAAGAAGAGCTTTCACTATGTGGGACATAAACATAATTTAAAAACCTCCTACATGTGAGTACATAAGGGTTAATGACTTAAAATGGTAACATATTATTGGTTTTGTACACATTTAGTCCCTGACTTTTTTTTGTCCACATTTTACCCTTGAACTTGTTCTTGTGTATAAATTAAGTCATTATTACCGGTTGCTTCCGATTAAGCCTGTCATTTTGTGTTTGGATGGTTTACATGGCAATTACCCTCTTCCACCCTCATTTATCAAGAAACCTCATTTACGAACGAAGATCTAAGCTTCAATTGTATTTAATCCGTTCTTGATCAGTGCCTCATTACTCACCCTTCTCTTCTCTCAATCTCTCAAAACACCATTCTGATTCAATGGAGGAAAATAAAGCTTTTCCAAAAGTCGATGTACACTATAACGGTACTTTTGTGGCTAATCCGTTAGTGTATTTTGGTCCACAAGTACTACGTCTGAATCAAGATGCAAACGAGTTTGTTTTCTCTGATTTCATCAAATATGTTGAGAAGCTTATCGATTTTCAGTGCAAGCATGTGTATTACTGTATACCTGAAGTGAGATTGAGTGAGGGGCTCCAAACACTACAAAATGAATGTGACTACTCCGAGTTTCTTGAGGTTGCAAATGCTAACAGACATGTGGATGTGTATATTGACCATGATAATGAACCTATATTTGAGTGGATTCAAAAAGAAGAACCAGACGATGAAGAACTTGTGTATTCAGAAGAAGATGTTAACTCTGTTTTGGCAGATGATGAGAACTGTGAACATGAAGAGGATGAATCTGTTACATCAAGCAAAAGAATCTTCAAAAGAACCTATAATGATAAGTTTTTGAACAAGTTATGTCTAGTAGTTGTTGAAGATGAAGATGAAAAAGGCAATGAACTTCCAGCTGTCTACCCTAGGCATGATGCTACTCAGGAATGGAGGAAGATGAAGCCTGAACTAGGTATGAGATTCTCTTCTCCTGCTGAACTTAAGTCATCTCTCAGTAACTATGCAGTTGCACATGGATATGACTTGTATTATGAGAAGAATGACAAGGATAGGTTGCTTGTAAAGTGTTGTAAAGGAAAAAGACCACAATGCCCTTTTAGACTGTGGGCTTCCTGGATGAAAGACGAGCAAACATTTCAAATAAAGTCCCTTAGAGAAGACCATAGTTGTTAAAGGGCATTAAAACTTGGGTCAATTGTTACCTACAAGTAGATAAGGAAACAATTTGTCACTGATATTTTGGAGTCCCCTAAAATGAGTCTGAGGAAGATGAAAGCTATGGTATCCAAGTTATTCAACATAAATGTTAGTGTTGGACAATGTAGGAATGCAAAAAGATTTGCATTGTGTGAAATTGAGGGTGATTTGAAGGATCATTATTTCAAGCTGTGGGATTATGGAGCTGAAATTAAAAGGGCCAACCCAGGATCTCATGTTGAAGTGTATGTGCAGCCCCAAAATAATTCTATTGTGGTGTTTGAAAGGTTTTATGTGAGCTTTAAAGGAGTTGTTGATGGCTGGTTAGATGGGTGTACGAAGATAATTGGGATAGATGGATGTTTTCTGAAAGGCATCTGTAAAGGGGAGCTGCTCTCAGCAGTAGGCAGGGATGGAAACAATAACATATACCCAATAGCCTGGGCAGTAGTAAATGTTGAGAACAAGAGTACATGGAAGTGGTTCTTGGACAATCTAATGGAAGACATAGATGAATGGGGAAATGGTAATGGAATCACATTGATGTCAGATGGACACAAGGTACATATATACACAAATTATCTTTTACAAAAATTACCTTTTTCACAAACTAACATTCCAAATCAATGCAGGGTATAATGGAGGCTGTGAAAGAAAGATGTCCAGAAGTTGAGCATAGGTTGTGTGCTAGGCACATCCTTGCTAACTTCCATAAAAAGTTTAAAGGTGAGTGTTACATTAAGTCTTTTTGGAGGGCTGTAAATAGGTTGTGTGCTAGGCACATCCTTGCTAACTTCCATAAAAAGTTTAAGGGTGAGTGTTACATTAAGCCTTTTTGGAGGGCTGTAAAGGCAACTACAATTCAAAATTTTGAACTTGCAATGGAAGAAATCAAGAGCTTTGATGTAGGGGAATATGATTATCTCATTAAAAGGGACCCCAATTGTTGGTCAAGGGCTTTTTTTAAGGTTGGAATGAGATGTGATGCAATGGAAAATGGTGTGTCTGAGAGCTTCAATGCTGTTATTGAAGAAGCTAGAAGGAAGCCATTGATCACTATGTTGGAGGACATAAGGGTATTTGTGATGGAGAGATTGTACATGCAGAAAGGGAAAGGATTAGGCTGGAATTTGGCAATCTGTCCAACTATCAAAAGGAAACTTGGTGAACTAAAGAAGTTGAGAAGGTTAGTTGTTACAAACACTTTTACTTACTTTTTGTACATGCAAGTGCTAACTAACTTTTTCTACTTTTTCTATTGACAGATTATGGGCATCATATGTTAGTGGATACAAACAGTTTGAAGTTGTGCAATGTAATGAAAGGTATGGTGTTGACTTGGAGAAGAGAGAATGTAGATGCAGAGGTTGGAAATTGACAGGAATTCCTTGTATACATGTTATATGTGCCATATCTTCCTTGAATCTTGATCCAGAGGAATATGTTGCAGAGTGGTTTACTAAATCTGCATTTCTTAGGGCCTATGAGTACAACATACATCCCCTGAATGATAGTACCTTGTGGCCCCACATGCCTGATGTTAACCAGATACTACCTCCTATTGGGAGGAGGTTACCTGGTAGGCTATGTGTGAAAAGAAAAAGAGACCAAGCAGAAAATGAACTCAGTGGGAATACAAGGCATACTATAAGCAGGGAAGGTGTTCAACACAGATGTACAATTTGTAATGAAACTGGACACAACAAAGTTACATGTCCACTAAGGGGGCATTCTGAAGCAGGTCCAAGTAAAGAAAGAAAGAAGAGTAATGCAAGAAACTGTCCTTCACAAGCAGGTCCAAGCACTCCAGCTCCAAGTGCTCCAACACATGTCAATCAAGATCCTTTGACTCAAGAGCATGTCCCTGTGAATCAAGAGCATGTGAATGAAGTTCCTGTGAATGAAGTACCTATCAACCAAGATCCTGTGAATCCAGTACCTGTTAACCAAGTGCATGTGAATCAAGAGCATGTGAATGAAGATCCTGTGAATCAAGAGCATGTGAATGAAGTACCTATCAACCAAGATCCTGTGAATCCAGTACCTGTTAACCAAGTGCCTATGAATCTTGGTGTTAGAGTGCCTAAGAGTCTTGGTATTAGAGCAAGGAAGCCTTCAGGGAGAATCAACAAGATACAAATCAGGAAGCATGTTTTTCGAAAGGATGGCAAAGGAGTGACTGAGGACAACCTAGTTACTTTAGACTGATTAGGGTTACTTGTTTTCTTTTGCTTTGGAAGTATGTAATAGTACACTATGTATGGTGACTTTCTTTGTTAATTGGGCCAACTTTTGATGTAATTGACAATACTACCCTTGCTATTAACCTAGCAACTTTTTATGGCCTTTAAGTAATGGAATCGAATATGGTATCCTATGTGAATTGTGTTTTGTCTTTTTCAATCTTTATTGGTATTAACGCATTAGTTTATTAAGAAGGTTATAATGGGAATCATATGTCAATTGTCTACTGAGAATTATATTCCCTATTTGTTTCTATCAATGTCCTTTGTCTTTTGGTTGTTGAAATTGCAGACAAATTCAATTATCATTGTCCTTGTCTTTTGGATGTTGAAATTGCACCCAAATTCAATGTAAATTAGAATCAAATGTGTGCCATATGCAAACCCCATTCAATACATTAAATATAAACCATTCAATACATTCCATATAAACCATCCAATCCCTACATTCAAAACAC